CGGGAGGCTAAGAACCTGGCGAAGCATGGAGTCAGGCGGTGGCAGAGACGACAGTGACAGCGGAGCAAAAAAACAGGTGCGGCGGTGCAGTGCCACCAGTACCAGTAGCTCCAGCGCCTCCAGCAGCTCTAGAACCTCCAGCCCCAGGGCCTCCAGCAGCAGCACCTCCTGCTCCAGCGCCTCCAGCAGCTCCAGAACCTCCAGCTCCAGCGCCTCCAGCAGCAGCACCTTCAGCTCCACTGACTCCAGCAGTAGCACCTCCAGCTCCAGCTCCTCCAGCAGCTCCAGAACCTTCAGCTCCAGCGCCACCAGTAGCAGCACCCCCAGAACCGGCACCTCCAGCCCCAGGGTCCCCAACTCCAGATTCGACAGTATTAGCTCCAGGGCCTCCAGCAGCAGCACCCCCAGAACCGGCACCTCCAGCTCCAGGGCCTCCAGCCCCAGTACCTCCAGCAGCATCACCCCTAGAGCCGACACCTCCAGCTCCAGGAGCAGTACCAGTCTCGGCAGCTCCAGTACCTCCAGTACGAGCACCTCCAGGACCAGAGACACCAGCACTCCCAGCGCCTCCACGACAAGCAGCTCCAGCAGCACGACTCCTCAGGCGGGTACGCGATGCAAGCCACTCTTGTGACTGCTGTGGTGAGACAGGCCCACGTCGTGAAACGAGACCCAGAGGAACGCCAGCAGACTCAGCACCCCCCGACCCGGCACCCTCCGGCTCAGCACCCCCAGGCTCCGCACTCGTAGGCTCAGCACCCCCAGGCTCCGCACCCCCCAGCACCTCTCGGACGGGCTCAGCATCCCTAGACTCCGCAGCCGCAGGCTCAGCACCCCCGGGAGCAGTACCAGTCCCGGCAGCTCCAGTACCTCCAGTACGAGCACCTCCAGGACCAGAGACACCAGCACTCCTAGCGCCTCCACGAGAAGCAGCTCCAGCAGCACGACTCCTCAGGCGGGTACGCGACGCAAGCCACTCTTGTGCCTGCTATGGTGAGATAGGCCCACGTCGTGAAACGAGATCAGGGGAACGCCAGCAGACTCAAAACCCCTCGACCTGGCACCCTCAGGCTCAGCACTCCCAGACTTCGCAGCCGCAGGCTCAGCACCCCCAGGCTCCGCACTCCCCAACACCTTACGCGGAGGCTCAGCACCCCCAGACGCAGCACCCCCAGACGCAGCACCCCCAGCAGCACCTCCCGTAGTTGTACCTGAGTCGCTACTGACCTCTACATGCTCAGCCATGGGGGATGGGTGGAGGACCTTGAGGGGGGAGGGTATCTACCGGAGGGGGACCTGGAGCGAGGAAAAGCGGCGGGGGAGGAAGAGGGGCAGTGCGGTAGGGGAAGAGACGGTAGAAAGGAATCGACTCGTCAAAGGTGACGTCCTGAGAGGGAAAGACACGACGCGAGGTGGGGTGGTAAAAATGCCAGCCAGGCGCGTCAAGGACAAAGCCAAGGAAGACACAAGGAATGGTGCGGGAGGAGAGCTTGTCCGTGGACGTATCACAGACAAGGGCGCGAGCACCCCAGACCGGAAACGCGATGCATCGCCAACCTCCCCCATCCAACCCAGTGTGGGCGAGGTCTCCGGAAAGGAGACACGGGGCCAGAGGTTGAGCTGCTGCGCGGCGTACCGGACCGCAAACGGCCACAGAAAAAGGGAAGCCGCCGCATGGATCAAGGAGGTACGAGCGACCTCCATGACTAAGCCAATGAAGCGCTCAGCAACCCTATTTTGATGTGGTGAGCCCAGAAGCGTGAAGGACTGCTCGATGCCCTCCCCCTAATAGAAGGTGTGCAAGAGGTCGGAGGTGAACTCACCACCTCTGTCAGAGTGCAAACGCAGGACAGGAAGGTCCTGGCGGAACTTCGGGCGGAGCTGAAGACGAACTGCTCGGATCCAAGGGATCAGGATAGCAGGGACCTCACCCTTGGTGCGCAAAGGGAAGACCGTGGTGTAATGCGAGTAGTCGTCGACAACCTGGAGAAGTACAGCTCACCGCCCTGTCCACGAATGCGGGCTGGGCCCCACACGTCCAGGTGGAGGGTCTGCAGAGGAGTCTCTGTCGGGGGAAACGCGGAGAAGTGAGGAGTGGCGCGCTGCCGCCCCTCGATGCAAGGAAGGCAGGGCGGCGCAGGCGAGGTAGGGAGGGGAGGGAGAGACCTGGGAAGACCAAACACAAGGAGACGACGGTGCATGCCACGGAGACGTGGCAAGGGGAGGTGACCCAAGGCGGTGGTGCCAAAGAAGAGTCTGGTGCGACAGGGAGCGACACTCATAGGGGGAGGCTACCAGACCTGACGCAGACACCTGACCGACAGCAGCTACCTGAGGAGACATAGTCGTCAGTGTGTAAAGACTCGACCCTGGCCGACGGGTGAACGTGGCCAGGTGACGGCCAGTCCAGGAGCATGTACAGATCACCACACGCTGTCCTCCCGGGGTAAAGGTGTCAACCGAATGATTTTGAAAGACGGCGTTGCTCACCAAGTTCGTCAAGAACGAGGGGAGGTGGAAACCTCACAGTGAGCCAGACGGAACCACGGGGCGCGGAAGCACAGTGGTGGACCGTACAAGAACTGGGCCCCCTAAGGGGTCAGCCAAAGAGACTGCAACTGGTGCAGGGAGTGGTGTGAGTGCGGTATTGTCATGGAAGAAGCAGCGGGAAGCACCTGAGTCAAGCGTGAAGGTGTGCAAGGCCTTAGCAGGCGCAGTACCTGAGAGAGCAGAATCACCAGCACCTAAGGCAGCAGCCTCACTAGCACCTAGAGCAGCAACCTCTATACCGGGATCGTACTGCACACACAGGTAACAGTCACTCTCAGCACCGCCAGGCAAAGCAGACATGGCAGTAAGGATGGCGTCATAGTCTAAAGCAAAGACATCAACGCCCAACCTAAGCAGCTCAAGCCAGTGGGGGGTCTCAGCCTCGTCGCCAAACTTCGCGTGCCAGGCATTAGTCAAATAGTCGAAGCAGTGGGACTGTGCGTAACCAGGTGTCCCACAGGTCTAACCAGCTCGACGACCTGTCTGAATGACGTGCGGACAGCGACCAGGACTCGGAGACGTCCCACGCTGGTAAAGCCACTCACGAAGCTGCTGGGGTGTAAGGGTTGGACGCCGCCGTAGCTGCATCTGGCCACCGCCAGAGACTCCACACCACACATCTCCACAGTGACTGCTTCTACGGCCGCCATGACTCCCACTGCTGCCACCACTGCCGCCACCAATCCCACCGCGACTACAAAGTGAAGTCATGGCGGGCAAGCTAGGAGGGGCGCGACCTCTAGGGCAGTACGGAGTGAAGGCAGTAGTACAAGTAGCAGCAGCAGTAAGACGAACAGCAGAGCGGCTCGTGAGGCTAGGCTGCAGCACCTCCAGCACTCCTAATAGCACCTCCACCAGCACCAGCAGTAGCACGATCGTGTCGGGTGGCGCGGCTCGGCCTGGGCGGCGCGGGCAGCAGGGTGCGCACTGTGGAGGGTAGAAGGGTGCGGCGCGCTGGCTGCAGCAGGGCGCGACGCACAGGGCAGCAGGGCGTGACGCGCGTGCTGCAGCAGAGTGCGATGCGCAGGGCAGCAGCGCGCGACGTGCGGGCTGCCGTAGGGCGCGATATGCGGGGCAGCAGCGTGCGACGGGCGGGCTGCCGTAGGGCGCGACGCGCGGGGCAGCAGAGCACGACGCGCGGGGCAGCAGCGCGCAACGCACGGGCTGCCGTAGAGCGCGACGCGCGGGGCAGCAGAGCGCGACGCGCAGGCTGCCGTAGGGCGCGACGTGCAGGGCAGCAGGGCGCGATGTGCAGCTGCCGCAGGGCGCGGGCTGCAGCAGGACGCAGGGCAGGGCGCTGGTGCAGGGGAGGGCGCTGGCGCAGGGCAGGGCGCTGGCGCCGGGCAGGGCGCTGGCGCAGAGCAGTGTAGGGCGCTGGCGCAGGGCAGGGCGCTGGCGCAGGGCAGGGCAGGGCACTGGCACAGGGCAGGGGCGCTGGTGCAGGGCAGGGTGCTGGCGCAGGGCAGGGCGCCAGTGCACACAGGGCAGGGCAGGGCGCGCGCTGACAGCGCAGCGCAGGGCAGGGCGTGGGGTAACGCGGTAACCGTAGTCGGTCACTAGGTAATGGTGGGCCCGAAAAAAAAACGGTCCTACGAACCTACGGTACTGCTCTGAAACCATGCTAAGAATTAACAAGCAGGAATGATTTCATTGAATGAATTGTGGGTGCAAGTACTAACCTTAATATTGGGTTTTACCCCACATGGGCTACCCCACTATAGCCTACACACAACAAGCACAGATATGGTTTGACACAGGGAACATGAATAGATGCAACTAATTGTTGATGTTGCTGTTGCGGTTCGATACAGCAACGACTCGGGCAACTGCTCAATACCGAGTCAGTTGTGTGTCCTTGCTGTCGCGCTGCCTTTCGACGAGTCAAAGGTGGCTGACCTTTGACCTTCGCTTAACCTCTTGCTGTTACATATTGTCATGTCAACCTCCTCGGTTGACTCGCCGTTGCTTGCTGTAATTCGCCTCGTTTGCAGTTCGGTGTTTCGACACCTCAGAAGCAACACTGTGAACTACATTCGCCTTGTGTGCTACCATTCGCCAAAATTGAGTGATACATAGCCAGAAAAGAGGCGACCATTAGTTGACTTGAGCTCGTTAATGAGGCGGTTCCAGTTGGACCCTAGAGTCCCCACAAAATAGTCGCACTCAGACGCGATAAGTAGGTTGGCAAAGCTAGCCCCCACCACCGTTGCAAGGCCGGTGGCAGTGGAGTAATTCGCCATGGCCTCGCGGGCACCTTGGCGGGGCAAGCGCGAATAGTAGAAGGTCCAATCGGGGAACAAGGCTGTCTGCTCCACCACACTCTGTCGGCCAGGGGTGGATGGGGCGAGGGGGGGGGTGGGAAGGGGTTGCGGACAGCAGGATGAGCTGCAACTGCATGCAGTGAACAAGGGCGGGAAGAGCAGGGGCAGGGAGGGGGGGCGTGTGAGCACCTGCATTTCGGTGCTGAGCCACACGGCCTTGAGGTTGGGGTCGAGGCGGCGCAGGCGGTTGGCGCGGTGCATGAAGGCGAAGAAGGAGAAAAGGCGCATCTCCCGCGCCTTGTCGCCCTGCCGCACGTGCACACTCACCACAGGCCGCGGCATGTGCACCGCCCCCCCCACCAGCACCGCCGCCTCCGCTGCACTCCACTGCTCAGGCGGCAAGGGAGGGGCATCGCCAGGCGCTGCTGCAGGGCTGGGTGCTGGCACGGCAGGTGCGGGGTCAGGGGGGAGTGCCGCTGTGAGCGTGGCACTGGCAGCGGTGGCGTCATCACAGGCGTCATAACCCAGCAGCGGCCATGCATGCGATTCAAGCGCGGACGGGGGAGGTATGCTGGGCATGCCCGTAAGAGCAAGAGGGGCAGGTGGGGAGGGAGAGGGAGAAGGAGGGGAAGAAGATGGGGGAGAGGCGGAGGCAGCGGGATGAGAGTGGGGTTTGGAGGAGAGGAGCATGGAGAGCAGTGCTGCCTGATGTGCTGCGGTGGCGAGCTGTGCTGCCACGTGCATGCCATAGGCAGTGTGGCGCTCGCGGTTGATAAGGTGGCAGAGGTGGCGCGAGGGCCAGCGCAGCATGAAGCGCACTGACTGTGCTCGCCACCAGTGCTTCTGCACCCCACATGCAACGTGGCCGGGCGGACGGGTGGAGGACAGGAGGGAGAGGATGTAAGACCTGGTGAAGCAGAGGAGAAGTAGAGAAGGGCTTGAACGCCAAAGGGGCCAGGCATGGCAGGTGAGTGGGGATGGCGGCACATGAAGAGGAGTTGGGCAGATGCAACGTGTCACAGGCGGAAAGAGGTATGTGGATGAGCATGAGCGAGTGAGGGCATGAGGGAGTGAGGGCATGAGCGAGTGAGGGCATGAGCGACGGAGGTTATGGGAGAGCAACGGCATGGGAAGAGCATGGGAGTGAGAGGCGAGACCTTGCGGATCTTGTCGTCGATGCGTGCATAGAGGGCGCCCTCCACCTCCTGCACCACCTCCCGCTCCTTGTATGCCTCGCCCCACCGCCTGCCGTGCCTCGTCCCACACCGTGTGAGAGCAGCCACGTGCAGTGCAGTGAGTAGAGCAGGGAGCGAAGACAGGGAGCGGGCGGGAAAGGAAGTGATGTGAGGCGGGCGACTCATGGCAAGGCTTTGAACAGCTAGCATGGCTTTCACAGCAAGGGTAGGGCTTGGGGGAAGAGAGTGAAGGGCCCATCAGTGGCAGCATGCAGGGCTCATGGGTGTGACGATGCCATGCACGCATGGCCATGTGGATTGTGCCATGACATGTGAGTGCGCGTGCGATACAGCCAATTATTCCCGGTCAACCACTGTAGCAGCGAGGCACAGGGGGCAGCACATGGGGAGGGTGGAGGAGAGGAGTGCTGACCCGACAACAGCAGAGTCCTGGCCCAGCTTGGGTCCACAGCCGAACACGACCGGTGCAGGCGAGGCCAGCACGGAGGAGTTGTCACACTTGAGCATGGCGGCACTGTGGTACGCCGCCATGGCCACTGCCTCGCACTCGCGCGCTGCCATGGGGAAGAAGTAGCAGCTCAACGACCCCCGCTCGCCCACCGCTGTTACACGGCGGGGGAGAGACAGCAGGGACACGAGAGGCAGGAGGGGATGAGTCATGTGGAATGAGCCCTATCATATCCGCACTGCACCCACATGCTCGACACTTGCTGGGCCTCACTCGCACACTTGCTTTGCACCACCACATCTCCTACCAACTGCCCACCACGCTCCCACGTACCACTCCCCCCGCTGTACCACCCTGCCATGCCTATGCGCTGGTGACCAAGCCACCCGGGCCAAGGAACACGGACCTTCACAGTGGGCGTGGTCAGCGTGCGCCATGGAGTGTGGCAGCATGACGAGTGTGCGGTTGTGGAGCAGCGCGGCGGCCAGGATGGCGGAGACCACGTGCAGCTGCGCGCCCAGCCCAAAGGACGCCACGTTCAGCCACGGCACCACCACCAGGCGCCGCCCCGCACATGCCGCCGGGAACTGCTGCTCCCATATGTCCCTCTGCGCCTCGCGCGTCCCCGCTAGGTTCGCTGCATCAGACCCCCGCACCTGGGAAACGTGGGATGGACGCGGTTGAAGGTGGTGGAAGAGAGCAAGGAGAGGGTGATACGAAAGGGGCAGGCGGGTTGTGGGGGGGTGTGGCAGTGAGTCAAGGCAAGGACGGCAAGGTGGTGGGTGGGTGGGGGCGTGGCAGTGGGGTTCATTCTGCACAGCAGTTTGATCACGGACTGTAAGGCGGCGTGAGACGAGAGGCACGCAGGCCGATTGTATGGAGGAGCACGCAGCATGGGTAGGCGGGAGAGGCAGGCACACATGTGTGCGTGCACCAGTGAAGTGTACCCCTGAAACCCGCCAGGCTTCCAACACACTGCACTGCGCGCACCTGTGCGCCCTGGGTGGGCGCTTCAGCCCGCCCATGGCTGCGCGCAGCTCACGGGGTGCGCTCATGGGCGGGCGTAGGGGCAGTGCACCTGGCGGTGGGTCCCCAAGAGTGTGCTGCGCGCGCCACTGCATGCATGGCCCCCCATGGCGCTCTGCTGCTGCGCACTCGTACCCACCCGCTGCTGCACGCCACGCCGCGGGCATGTAAAGGAGCATGCAATAACGGGAATACAGGGCGGGCTGCACCCACCCATGGCGGCTGCGGCACCCCCCCGCACGCGGAAGGACGAGCCCACGCGGGGGCCTCCCCGTTGCGCCCGCGTGCCTCCATGCGCTCCCGCCACGCCGTCCGCTGTGCGCAATTCTCCAGGTGCGGCGCGCGGGGCACGCCAGGGGGGAGAGTGACGTCGGGCGGCGGCAGCAGCGACAAGGCGTCGAGGCCGTACGCGCTCTCCCAGTGCTGAGAGGCGGGAAGGGGAAGGCGGGGAAAGGAAGAGCGAGGAGAGGGAGAGAGCGGAAGAGTGCGTGAGGTTTGCACGTGGGATGGGAGGGAGGAGGGCGGGGCGCGACTGACCTGACAAGGGCGCTACTACGACTGTGCCCACATGACAACGCTGCTGCCCACCCGCCACTGACCCTGTACAAGGCCCGTGCATGCTCCGAGCCGCCACTGGCGTCGTCCGCGCTTCCCCCCATCCCCAGGGCCCCTCCGCGCCACGCGCGCCCGCCATGCAAAACCCCGCCCACGAGCGCAAGCACCACGGCGCTCAGCACGCGCCCGCCGCCGTGACGCCTGCCTCTACCGCGCGCGTTGATTCCTTCTACCCTCCTGCCGCCCTGCCATTTCCTTGGCATCCCCCCGCACCGGCGCTGCTCCACCCCGCCGCCATCCCAGACTGCCCGCAACCGCCGGATGCGGCGCATGCTCAGCGGCTCTACGCCAGGCGATGCGCAGATAGCGGCGATGGGAGGTCTTACTACGCGAGGCGGGGTTGGGGGAAGGAGGGAAACCAGGAGAGGCAGAGAATAAGGCGGTTTAGGGCGCATCACCTCGGGGCTGGAAGGCCCAAATCCGAACATACGTAACGAATTCACTGTACGAACAGTTTCCCGACGAGATCCGAACACAAATTTGAACACCTTGGTGAATGTGACAGCTCGTGACTAGAGGTGACAGCCTGTTCGAACATGCGACGTCGCCAAGTGCTGGACGACTTCGCGAAACGTCGCAAAAAAATAATTCTGTCGTCTGCCATTCAAGTTTGACTCATTTTTCGCCCATCCAGTCAAACAGTCTCTTCGTGCTCTTCTACTACTGCTCACCTTGTTGTTTCCCAACAACAATGTCCTTTTTGATGAACTTTCTCCTGCATGGCGACATTTGCAATGGTCGCAAACATTCGAGTGCGACCCGAAGCCTGCTAACCAATAAAATCAGTCGTCCATGCGGAATTCCTGTCACCAAACCCAACTTTGTTCGAACAACTCTGTTCGAACGTGCGGAATGGAGAGCTTCGTGCCCCGTGTGACAACTCTGTTCAAATTCGCGAAATTTCCGACTAGCGACGTCACGAACATCCATACGAGGAGTGGCGAAAAATGTAACATTTCGCCTGTTCGAACAACCGTCCTGTTCGAACTGAGAGGTGAAGCGCCCTTATTGCCGCTTCAGGCGCACCCAGTGCTCAAAACCAAGGAGGTTGGCATGAGGCACGTGGGATGCGGAATTGCATGCTTCGCAATTCACTTGTAAATGTTTGAAAATTGGCAGTTCGACTGGTATTTGTTTATCTAGAATGTTTGGCTCCTTGTCGTGCAAATTCTTCTAGTGTGTACACTCAGCCAGACTGACTCAAAAAGAGTGCCACTAAACAGAACAGAGGGGGAAAAGGTGCTGGGCCTTGAGGTTTTTGTTTCACAACTAATTTGTCCAATACTTACATGTGCATTAATAATATAATATGGTTACCAAACCAGATCTATGGTTTGAAGGTAAAGGGTCAAGGATGGTTAGAAGAGAAGAGTACGAAGCAAAGGGTAAGAGAGGGTATACGTTAGCTTTAGGCTAGAATTAGTTGCATGCTCCTAAATGAGTACTACGGTATTCATTTGCATGATTAGGGCTTCCTATTTGTGTCGCCCCCCCCCCCCCCCCCCTCTTAGTTGATTATCATTTCGAGTTATACTATGACATTGTATGGCACCATCGTAGGTTTGTTCCTACCGCCTACCTACCTAATTCCTAAACCATCCGCCGGTCAGCCAACCTTTCCCGCCTACCCTAGCTAGCCAGCCAACCAGCCAATGCCGACCTGTCAAACTATATATGTGTTAGTTCTGTGTAGGCTATAGTGGGGTAGCTCATATGCGGTACAACCCGAAGTTAGGGTTAGTAATTGTACCCACATTTCATTCAATGCAATCATTCCTGCTTGCTATCTTGAAATGGTTTCAGTGCAGTAGGTCCGTAGGACCGTTTTTTTTTCCCGGGCCCACCATACTTAGCTTCCAACTACGGTTACCGCGTTACCCCACTACCTTGTGTCGCGCTGCCTCGCGCACACCCTGCCTTGCGCCAGCGCCCTGCCCTGCGCCAGCACCCTGCGCTGCGCCGGCTCCCTGCCCTGCGCCAGCGGCCTGCCCTGAGCCAGCGCCCTACCTTGCGCCGGCGCCCTGCCCTTGCGCCAGTGCCTTGCCCTGCACCAGCGCCCTGCCCTGCGCCGGCTCCCTGCCCTGCGCTAGCGGCCTGCCCAGCGCCAGCGCCCTGCCCTACGCCGATGCCCTGCCCTGTGCCAGCGCCCTGCCCTGCGCCAGCGCCTTGCCCTGCGCCAGTGCCCTGCCCTGCGCCAGCGCCCTGCCCTGTGCCAGCGCCCTACCCTGCGCCAGCGCCCTGCCCTGCGCTTGCGCCCTGCCCTACGCACGCGTTGCTGCCCTACGCACGCGCTGTTGCCCTACGCGTCGCGCCGTACAGCAGCCCGCACGTCGCACGCTGCTGCCCCGTGCGTCGCGCCCTACGGCAGCCCACGAGCCGCGCGCTGCTTCCCCATGCGTCGCGCTCTGCTGCAGCCCGGGCGTCGCGCCCTAAGGCAGCCCGTCGCGTTGCGCTCTGCTGCCCCTCGCGTCAAGCACTACTGCAGCCTGCGCCAGCGCCCTGCCCTGCGCGCGCTGGCGCCCTGCCCTGCGCCAGCGCCCTGCCCTGCCCTGCGCCAGCGCCCTTCCCTGCGCCAGCGCCCTGCCCTGCGCTTGCGCCCTGCCCAACGCACGCGCTACTGCCCTACGCGTCTCGCCCTTCAGCAGGCCGCGCGTCTCACGCTGCTGCCCCGTGCGTCGCGCCCTACGGCAGCCCACGAGCCGCACGCTGCTGCCCCGCGCGTCGCGCTCTGCTGCAGCCCGGGCGTCGCGCCCTAAGGCAACCCGTCGCGTCGCGCTCTGCTGCCCCTCGCGTCAAGCAGTGCTGAAGCCTACGCCAGCGCCCTGCCCTGCGCGCGCTGGCGCCCTGCCCTACGCCAGCGCCCTGCCCTGCCCTGCGCCAGCGCCCTGCTCAACCCTAAATAAGATTAAAATAAAAGTAATAATGAAAAAAAAGCCCCTAGGTGCTTTTGCCCTAGGAGCTGCTGCCTGCTACTACCTTGCTCTAGCCGTGCGCCGCCCTGCTCTGGCCGCGCGCCGCCCTGCTGCTCTTACTGCTGCTGCTGTTACTCGTGCTACTGCGGTCACTCCGTACTGCCCTAAAGGTCGCGCTCCTCCTAGCTTGCCCGCCATGACTTCACTTTGTCGTACTGGTGGGAGTGGTGACGGCGGTGGTGACAGTAGTGGGAGTCGTGGCGGCCGTAGTAGCAATCATTTGATGAGAAACGAGGAATGGATGCATTAAGCAGAATGAGGAGTACAAGTAGTAAACCCTAAAGTGTTGTACCCCATATGAACTGCCCCACTACAGCCTACACAGACTATAGCATATATTCCTGACACACCCCCATAGGCAAAGTTGGGGAGAACAAGGGGTCACAAGACCAGTCAAGCAACGCAAAGCAAGCTCAGGGTGGATCACAACGTCACCACACAGTCTGAGCACAAGAGCAAGGCCACAAGGCCAGTTCACATGCAAGATCATATATATAAAGGTAAACAAGCAAGTGCAGGTAAAGAAAGAGTACAGTACAAACAAGGTCAAGAAGTGAGCAAGTGAGGCCGAGTAGGCACAAGACCTAGCATAGCACAGAAGCGCTGATGATCACAAGGCGGAAGGGCCTTGGTAAAGATATCAGCAGTGTTGGCCTCAGAGGCCACGTAGGTGAGGCGGAGCTGACCACGCTGCTGCAGCTCACGAGCCAGGAAGTAGCGAAGAGCAATGTGCTTCGTTCTGTGCTCCAGTCTGTGTGAGAATTGAATCGAGAAAGGATGAACTATGAATGAAATGGGTACAAGTACTAACCCTAATTGGGTTGTACCCCTTATGGGCTACCCCACTATAGCCTACACAAGATGCATGAGCTATAATGTTCTGACACACCCCCATAGGCAAAGTGGGGGAGAACAAGGGGTCACAAGACCAGTCAAGCAAAGAAAAGCAAAGCAAGGTCAGGGTGGATCACAAAATCACCACACATTCCGAGCACAAGTTCAAGGCCACAAGGCCAGTTCACATGCAGGAGTACATATATATAAAAAAGGCTAGACAAGCAAGAGCAGGTATATATGAATGTAACAGTACAAGCAAGGTCAAGAGGTGAGCAAGTGAGGCAAGGTAGGCACAAGGCCCAGCTGAGTACAGAAGCGCTGATGGTCACAAGGCGCAAGCGCCTTAGTGAAGATATCAGAAGTGTTGGCCTTGGAGGCCACGTACGCAAGACGCAGCTGACCACGCTGCTGCAGCTCACGAGCAAGAAAGTAGCGGAGAGCAATGTGCTTCGTTCTGTGCTCCAGTCGCTGCTCCCGACACAAGGCCAGCATGGCCTTGTTGTCTACGTACAGCACTGGAGGAGAACGAGGCGGCTCTCCGAGGTCAGTCAGCAGGTAGGTGAGCCAGCGAAGCTCCTGTGCAGCCATGGCCCCGGCGTAGATCTCAGCCTCACAACTGGAGCCGAGAACAGAAGACGAGCGAGTAGCCCGCCACGAAGCAGAGCCGGAACCAAGGCTGAAGGTGTAACCCTGTAACGACCGCTGCGTAGCCTCGTCGTCAGCCCAAGAAGCGTCTGCGTGCCCAGTAAGGACCACTGGACTCTGCCCTCCAAGCACAAGCCCCATGCTCGACGTACAGCACAAGTAGCGCAACACCCTCTTCGCTGCAGCCATGTGCTCCGGTCTGTGTCTCCCAGGAGCAACATAGCGTGCAAGAATGCTAAGAGGGTATGCAAGGTCAGGTCGTGTGCAGGTCATCAGGTACATGAGGGAGCCAACAAGCTCTGCAAACGGGCCACTCTACTCTACGGACTCATCCGAAGGCAGAGCTGAGAGCGAGTGGCGAGTAGGCAGAGGAGTGGCCTGAGGCGAAGAGTACGTGAAGCCAAAGCGCTGAAGGACCTGCTGCACCATGTGTGACTGAGTCAGGGTAATGGTGCGGCGTGCTCTGTCCCGAGTGATCTGCAAGCCAAGGTAGCTGCGCAGTTCACCCAGGTCAGTGCACGTGTGTCTCTTCTGCAGCTCGGACTTCACGTGGGCGAGTCCAGCAGTGTCAGCTGTGGCAAAGACCAAGTCGTCGACGTACACGAGGATGTAGAACGGCGGCAAAGAAGTGTCGGTGCGCAGAAACAGCGACGGGTCGGCAGTAGAGGGAGCAAACCCAAGAGCCGCAAGTGTAGTCCTCAGTGTGTCGTGCCACTCACGCGGTGCCTGGCGGAGACCATAGACTGGCCGCCGGAGGCTCCACTGGGTGCCAGGAGGAAAAGACCCAGTGAAACCAGGTGAGCGACGCAGCCAGATCTCCTCGTGCAGGCTGCCCTGCAAGAAAGCAGTGCTGAAGTCAAGAGAGTGTAGCTCGTCGTCAGGGTGAGCAGCTATGTGCAGCAGTACCCAAAGAGTGGTCATCTTCGAGGTGGGAGAGAAGG